GACGAACCGCCGCACACTTTTGGCCACTGCACGGGAAAGGGGGGACGAGGCTGCATGTGCGCAGAGTCGCTCGCGGATCTCCCGAGACTGATCTCAGCATCCCGCAGGCTCAGTCAAAAGCAGCGACGAAACATCAGCCGCTGCCAGACATGGATGAAGGAATCTCCCGCTTGCCGGAGCGGCAGCTGCTGGAGCATAGGGATTTTATAGGGTAAGGCGCCGGGGCAGTATCTCCGTCTCGTATCTCTGCGGCGTTTCGTCGTCTTGAGAAAGTGCTGCGAAGAGCTGGGAGCGGCGCCGGCTCCCCGGTGGGGCGCGGGGCTCACCGCCTCCCTCCGCGGGCGGACCGGGGSGAGCCCTTGCCCGGCCCTTCGGGCAGAGCGCTCGGCGCCCGTSTGCCCACTCGAGGAGGTGCTAGGCAAGCTCTCGCTGCACTTGCCGATGCTGGATCTTTGTGTTTTTCTCCAGGCTGGACTACCCTGCCCTGTATATGTGCAAACCCAAGAGAGGCGTGAAGAGGGACGAGAGCAAGGTAAGAATAAGTTTCTGGGGCTCTCTTCTCGTTTAASCGCCTTATTTGGGTTCGCCAAATTTTGCAGCGTAGCTTCGCTCCCAAGATCATACCCGGGGGGCTGCGCATTAACTTGCCCCCCGAATTGCAAGTGGGTTTACGAGCGAGCTGGCACGGCGGGGAGAGCGGTGCCTTGACGATAATTTGCGCGGCATGTGGTCCGCATGACATTTGTTTTGGTTTTGATCGGCGTTCCGAGGGACTCTGCCTAACACTGGGCTTTTCCGGGTTTTGCTGATTAGGAAACGTACAAACTGCCACATAGACTGATAGAAAAGAAGAGGCGAGACAGGATAAACGAATGCATTGCCCAGCTGAAGGATTTACTGCCCGAGCATCTGAAGCTGACGGTAAGGTGCCCAGGAGCGTGTATGTCCATGCAGATGCAGGCGCCGGCAGCCTGCCCGCTGCGCAGCCCCGGGACGCCGGGCTGCCTGCCCGCTGTCCGCCCGCCGTCCTGGCCGTAATGCCTCGGGGACCGGTTTCACCGAAGTTAACGGAGGCGGCGTTTGGCGGTAGCCAAAACGTGCCGAGAGGTAGACAAGCCGCCCCCTATCCTTGCCTTTGCAGACGCTTGGACACCTGGAGAAAGCGGTGGTGCTGGAACTGACTTTGAAGCACTTGAAAGCGCTAACAGCCTTAACAGAGCAGCAGCACCAGAAGATTATTGCTTTGCAGAATGGTAAGYGGGACCCTGGGGACACCGGCGCGGGGGCGCACCGGGGCGGAAGGGGGGAGGCGCGGAGCGGGACACCCCACACCGGAGCCGCGGGCAAACTCTGTCTCCGCTCGGTCTCCCCCGCAGGGGAGCGGTCCATGAAGTCTCCGGTGCAGGCCGACCTGGACGCCTTCCACTCGGGCTTTCAGACGTGCGCCAAGGAAGTGCTGCAGTACCTCTCCCGCTTCGAGAGCTGGACCCCCCGCGAGCAGCGATGCGCCCAGCTCCTCGGCCACCTGCACTCCATCTCCTCGCAGTTCCTCCCCGGCCCCCAACTCCTCTCCCCGCCGCCGGGCCCCCTCAGCAAGGGATCCTCCTCCTCTTCCTCCCCGCCCGCCCCCCACTGCGCGCCGGGCCACAAGCCGGAGGGCCAGGCTAACTGCGTGCCCGTCATCCAGCGGACTCACGCCGCCGAATTCAGCGCCGAGACCGACACGGACACGGACAGCGGCTACGGCGGGGAGGGCGAGGCGCGCCCCGAGCGCGGCCCCGCAGCGGCGGCCGGCGGAGCGCTGCCCGCCCTGTCCATCAAGCAGGAGCCGTCGGGGGACGAGGTGCCCCCCGCGCCCAAGCGGTTGAAGCTGGACCGCGGCGGGAGCCCTATGCCCGGCCCGCCGGGGCTGGGGGCGCGGAGCGCCGAGGCAGCGGCAGCGGCGGCGGCGGCGGCGGCGGCCGCTCTGGTCAGACCCGACGCCTCCCTGCTGGGCTCGCTGATGGCCCTGGGGGCGGGCGGCGGCGGGGCCCCCTTCGGACAGCCGGCAGCGGCCCCTTTCTGCCTGCCCTTCTACTTCATCTCCCCCTCGGCCGCCGCCGCCTACATGCAGCCCTTCCTGGATAAAGGCAGCCTGGAGAAGTATCTCTACCCCGCCGCTCCCATCCCGCTTCTCTACCCGGGCATCCCGGCCCAGGCGGCCGCCGCCGCAGCTGCCGCCGCCGCCTCCTTCCCCTGCCTCTCCTCCGTGCTTGGTCCCGCCGAGAAGGCGGCAGCGGCCGCCGCTGGGCTGCCCCCGACGCCCCACCTCCCGCACCCCTTCGCTGCCGCCGCCGCCGCCGAGCCCGGCGAGGAGCCCGAGCCCGCAGCTGCCGAGGAGCCCGGCGCTGAGGGCCCGTGAGATGCCCCCGGGGGCTCCCTGCCGCCGCTGCCCTCCCCTCGGACTGGGGGACCGTCGGGCCGGCATTTGCGCTCCCGGGTTCCTTCGGAGGGCAGGGGTCGCCGGGGCCGGTTATCGCCTTGAGCTGGCGGCCGCGGGGTGCCGGGGCCTGGCCCGGGGGAGCCCCACTGACGGGGCGGCAGGTCCCAGAGCGGCTCCCGCAGAGGACCGTGGAGGATAAAATTTGCTACTCAGTATTTTTTTAATGTTTGGCTTTATAAATGCATAAATAAGGAAAAAAAAAGAAGGAAGAAAACATAGTAAGGATACTTTTTTTTTTCTCTATATAGAGTAATTAAATGTGGCACCTTACTTGAAATGGGTTTGTAGAGTGTGTCCCTAAGTCCCACCTGGGAGCTTGCACTTGTCCGGGAGACCTGGATGGGCTCAGGGTGAGGGTGGGGTGCAAGGCAAGAGAGGAAGGGCAGAGCCCAGCACCTATGCTAGCACTTTATGGGGAATCGGAGCATGGAGGATGCACCCTGAGCCCAAACCTGCAGTGCCTTGAGCACCCGGGGAGGCCGCTGGCTCCAGTGAGTTTTGGGTGTGCAAGGGAAGGAGGGTCAGACCCATTACATAACCTTGTGTTTATTTCATAATTTTTTTTGGCTAAGATATACAGGTGTGGCAAGTGCATTTGTTCTCACCCCATCTTTATTTAATTCAGTATGTTCCCAAGAGATTTTTTCCCCCTAACCTTGCTGTATGAAATGAATGTTACTGCACTGAACTACAAAAAAACAAACCCTTCTCTCCCCCAAGAAAACACAGAGCAGCCTGAACTCATCCTAAATTCTGAGTGACACAAACTGGAGGCCGTAGGTAAAACACCTCGCTGTGCAATCAGAAACGATTAAACCAGTTGGGGTAAGTTTCCCATATGGGTTTTTCCCTCATCCCATGCTCAAATACTGCGATTTCCCTTTCTGGAGACAAACCAGACGCCAGATAATCACACAGATAAAGCTTTTATAATAAGGCTTAAACCAAGACCTTGCCTAGATATTTTTAGTTTGTTGCCAAGGTAGCACTGTGAGAAATCTCACTTGAATGTTATGTAAGAGGTGAGACACCACAGCCTGGCGAGGAGTGTGTGCGTGTCCGGGGTCCGTCAGTCCATTTGGTGCATCTGCTGCTGCTGTTGCTACTGTTTGCCTCAAACGCTGTGTTTAAACAACGTTAAAAAAAAATCTTACTAGCCTACAGAGTGGCTATATGTAAATAGTTGTTAATACATCCAATTAATGATGTCTGACATGCTATTTTTGTAGGGAGAAAAATATGTGTTAATGATATTTTGAGTTAAATATCTTTTGGGAGGATTTGCTGAAAAAGTTGCACTTTTGTTACAATGCTTATGCTTGATACAAGCTTATGCCGTCTTAAATTATTAAAAAAAAATAAATCCTGTCTGCAAGAAACCAGCTGTTTTAGAACAGTTTAGTATGTGATATATTAGAAATCAATCTTTATATTCAGTATTTTCCAGCACTCCATGAATTCTATTATCTAAATATTTCCACACTATTTTGTGATTAAAAAATTCTTACTAAGGAATAAAAACTTTAATACACAAAATGGGGTTGTCTACTAATTAAAAATGTAATGTTAATACATAATAATTGGTGCATTGAGCTTCAAACTGTACGGTTGTGTGGCTGATGATAATTCACGGTTTTAATCTGGGTTTGAATTTGCTGGGTTTCCTTTAACTCTCTTTGGCAAACTCTGGTTTAATATGTGCATATTTCACAAAGCCAAGTGTAAAGCATGCATGTGGAACATGCACGTTTCTTCCTGACATCTACTTTTTTCCTCTTCTTTTTTGCAAAATATTAATCTTTAAAATTAACACTTGACAGCCCTGGTGCTGCATAGGAGYTCTCTTTGCTCACAAGGAGCAAACTTTATGATTTGCCTGTCCATCTAATGATGTRTCATAATCTCTGCAGGAATGAATGACGGATGCCTCAGCTTGGAAATACTCTACAACTGAGCATTTTGTGGTTGGGGGGGAGGCACAGCAAGAGGAGCAATAGTGGTGGAAGTGGGCAAATCATCCCTAGCATGGAAATGCAGTATTCTGAAGACTTCCACAGATTGAATAGCAGAGCTGTAGATCACCTTTTCTTGCAAAAATTATTACAGAGAAATAAAGKAACCCCTCAAACAGTAGCCAGTGTTTATGTAAGAGAGAGATGAAGGGAACGTTCCGTGCTCCCTCTGCTGGTTCTGCAATATCGATGACTACACTGACAAGGAATGAAGCTGGAATGGAATAAAAAACTCCTACGACTCGTGTTAATTCCATCAATCCTTTAAAATACATCGTAATTATGAATTGGACGAAAAATAAGTGCTCCTTTTATATGACTCGAATAGGATTGTTAAGAAATAGGTTTGTGTCTTCACATGGAAGCTATAGTAAATTTAATTCCTATCATAGATACAGGAAGACTATCTACAAATATCAATGAACACATAGACGTGGGTTTTTTTCCATAAATAATGGACTAAGGGCTGCTACAGTGCACCACCCTACATGCTGAAGTCAATTACTAGGTAGGGAAATGGGAAAAAATCTGCATTTGATTCCCACTGTCTTTGGATCAGGTTCTCTCCCTGTGTTGTCACAGGAATGAATGTGAGCTGGGCTCAACACTTCAGCTCGGTAACTTTGACCTGCATACTTGAACAGCTTAACGTTTGCTAGGCCACTAGTTAGGCTGGGATGAAAATGCTGGTGTATTCCAACTCCTCCCGCCAGCCAGGGAATMGGCCTGACTGAGCTCAAAGCCCTTCCTACCATCGCACTACATGCACGCAAAGGGTGGAGCCACGAGCACTTAAAAAATGCTTTAAAAACGGTGCCCCTCCAGAAGAGCATAGTTTAAAACCTGAGTGTGAGCAAGGCTTTCGGTCTCCTTAAACTTTCCATCCTTTGGGAATATGAATCGATTTAGGTTTCACTGGGCTATAAACCCAGATACTTAGAGGGCTTTATCAATTTCAGTATTTACCATGTACAATAACAGGAAGGTTTGTTTTTATTAGCCCTTGAATCAAATATGCCAAATGACTTCATGCCAAGTTGCAGCATCAGTGGAATCTATTAAATTTTATGACATAAAACATAAAGACAAATTATGTGTGTTCTGATAATCCCAATGCCTAACAAAAGCAAACATGGGGAAAACAAGGTTTGTAATTGAGGCTGATAACCCACTGCTGCTGGAGGCAAAAGGCAAATGACAGGAGAGACTGTAGTGTCAGCCTAAATTATTAAATTCCAGGCTTCCTCAGATCCCTTTGGAGCCTAAATCAATTTGTATGTCTTGAATTTTCTTGAGGTTAAAAACTATCACAGAAACACTGGACAAGAGCCTCCCAGTTTTAAATATACATTCCCCTGTGAGTGCTGAGAGTGCAGGACTGGGTGCTACACTTGAATCTGCATTGTGTTGTCCCATAAACTACAAGATAAGGGATGCAAGCTTATTATCTTTAGCAATAAACTTTGAAAACAGATCCTATTATCCAGTTTATTATAGTGACATGACAGGCTCCATTAGAGTGTGTTAAACAAATATGGTTGGGATTGTTAAGACAATGGAAAGCAATATCATGTACCTCTGACTGAAGGACAAGGAATTTTTATATTTGGAAGGGTTACAATTACAGTACTTGACCATCAGCCCCATGTAAGAAAGGCTTGACCTACCAATTAAGCCATGTGAGTCTTTTTCCGGAGCATAATGGGCCTTGGAGTAGGTCGTGAGTTTGTAATTTGGACCTTGTTTGTTTAATTTTCACCTCTAGACAGGGCAGACTGGATGTCTGACATCCAGCAAACCTGAGGATTTTGTACAAGGTGTGTTTCAGCACCTGTAAATTCCTAGTCTGCCCTGTAACCTGGGTTTTGCAATGCATTTCCTTTTYCCTTCAAACCTCTGCTCTTGAAATCATGTGATCCATGCCTTCTTTGGAAAATTTCCTGCCATCTAGTTGCAGAAACGAACATGAAAGTAAAACCCCGGAGAAAGAAAGTATTAAAAATGCCAAATTTCCTCTCTGCCAAATAAAGCTTTGGATTTTTTTAGAGCCAGTTTCACTCAGGGAAGTGTGAATCTCTGTTGAGTGTCTCTGGTTCTCCTGCAAGCTCAGAGCAGCTCAGGGAAGTAGCAAAGAGAAGCTGGTGGCTCACCTGCTGCCAGCAGCAGCTGTGCGAGCGCTGGACACGTGTGGGSTGGATGCGAGCAAGGGCGAGTTGCTCTGCTCTCTGCATCCTTCCCATGGCTCCAGCATTTCAGCCTGCAGGGCTGTCAATCTGTCACAAGCACTAAATTCAGCACAGCCTGGATGACGGCGCTGCCGCGGGCTGCAGGAGCTGCCCTGCCTGGGACAGACTGTTCTGCCTCGCTGAACTCACGGGGCACCCAGTGGCAGCGCACCTGCTGCTGCCACCGCCGCCTCTTCCTGAGCTGCAAACATTCCTCTCCCGGCATGGCCCTCCCGGAGCCCCAGAGGATGCAGGTGATGCCTGGGATGGGTGGAGAGATGTTTCTCCTGCCTTCATAAAGCCCTGTGGGCTGTTTGTTTTTTACTTTGCTTTTTACTATGTTTTTAAAGGATGTGACCAAGTCACTCTGACAACGGAGCAATTTCTAGGGAATAACCTCAGGAAAAGAGCCGTGTAAATATGGCACCTTCTTTCTCAGCAGAAAATTGTCTCCCCARGCGTGTTTTGGTTAGTACCTGCGGTACACAGCCAGCTGAGCTGACAGATATTGAATGGATCCTATTCTCCCTGTAATCTATCAACAAGGTTGCCAAGGCTGCAGCCCTGCAGTGGGTGGCCTGCAGGCTCACAGCCTTACACATCGTGTTGTTTGCAAAGGAGTCCATCTAGAAGGGRGCAGCAGCCCCTCTGTATGGGCCTAATAGTTATAGTGTTGAGAGCTTCAGACTTGCTTAGAGTGCACTGCACTGGCTCCAGGTTTGGAGCCTGTGAATAGTGACCTGGATYAGCATTTTTATGGTGTGGAGATCGCAGCTTCCAGCAAAGCTTGTAACACTGGGCCCTAAGTTTCAGCCGTAGGATATGGAATATGAATATGTCCATCAAAAACAATTATAAGCCACCAAGAGCAGATTCTGTAGCAAAGAAGCAGCCTGAACTATAGAAAAAAAAAGCTTCTCTTCACATAATCCCAGGATGGTCAGGCTGAAAGGGACCATAGTGGGTCATTTGGTCSCACCTCCCTGCTCCAGCAAGGCCATCCAGAGCACATGGCATCCAGATGGTTCTGGAAGCCCTCCAGTGAGGGAGATTCCATATCCTCTCTTGGCAGCAAGATCTCAAAATGTGTTTGCAGGACGACCAGCAGGAGAAACTGAGTGTCTCCTTTTAACATGCAAGTTGAACTCTTKTTCTGCACAGGGCTGAGAGATTGAAAAAGAACAAAAGATGAAAAATCTTTTTATGCTGTACTTGAAACAGGAGGGCRTAAGTCTTAAGCTATGCCAGGGAGGTTTAGGTTGGACATGAAGTAGAACTTCTTCACYGAAAGGGTGGGCAGACATTGGAACTGGCTCGAAGGGAGGCGGTGGGATCACCGTCCCTGCAGGTGTTTATGGAAAGGCAGGACGTGGCACTCACTCCACGGTCTGGTTGAGACGGTGGTGTTCGGTCATACGTTGGAACCAGCGATCTCAGGGGACTTTTCAACCTAAATGATTCTGTGATTCTGTGAAAAGGTCTGTGCAATTTGTGCACGCTGGGTTTGTTYTGACAGCAGGAACGCTAAGGCAGTACCTGCGCACCCACCAGGCCCGTCAGCGCAGAGAGCGGTGCTGAGAGGCACCGCAGGGGACCAAGGACCCCTTTGCGATGATTTGGACAGAGAATCCCCTGCAGTCCGGCCGGCTCCTGGCAACCCCGCCCTGCTCCGWGCCGCTGTCCCTCGCTCCCGGCCCGTCCGGCGCTTCCCGGCTCCCGCCTCAGTCCGAAGTGCGCGCCCGCCCCTCAGGCGCCGCCGCCGTCACGCGCGCGCCCGCGTGACGCCGCGCACGCTGCCCGGCACGTGAGCGCGGGGCCGCGCCCGCTGCGGGGAGGGGAGAGGGGTGGCGAGGGGGCGGGGCCAGCAGCGACAGCAGCAGCCATTGGCCGGCGCGCGGCTCGCGCTCCGCCTCTCCCCGCGCGGCTCCACGGCCCCTCAGGAATGGCCGCCCCTGGGGCGGAGCGGCGAGTCGGCAGTCTGGCAGAATTGCGGGGTCATTCAGGCTGGAAAAGTCCTGTGAGATCATCGGGTCCAACCTGTGACCGARCACCACTGCGTCAAGCAGACCATGGCACTGAGTGCCACGTCCAGCCGTTCCTTAAACACCTGCAGAGACGGTGACTCCACMGCCTCCCTGGGAGCCAGTTCCAATGTCTGATCACCYTTTCAGTGAACAATTCTTCCTACTCTGCACTGTTGCCGTCTCACCTTGATTATTGTGTGCAGTTTTGGTCACTGCAGTGTTAGAAAGATATTAAGCTGTTAGCATCCAAAGGAGGGACATGAAGATAGTGRAAGGTCTGGAGGTGAAGCCCCACAAGGAGCAGCTGAGGGCACTTGGTCTGTTCAGCTGGAGGAGACTGAGGKCAGAGCTCCCAGCAGTTCTGCAGCTCCCTCACRAGGGGAAAAGGAGGGGCAGGTCCTGATCTCTGCTCTTTGGTGACCAGGGACAGGACCCAGGGAACATCTGGAGTTGTGTCAGGGAGGTTTAGGTTAGATATCAAGGAAATGTTCTTCCCCCAGAGGCACTGAACAGGCTCTCCAGGGAAGAAGTGGTCACAGCCCCAAAGCTGACAGCTCCAGAAGTTTTTGGACAATAATCTTGGGCACATTATGTGACTCTTGGAGATTGTGTGTRCCAAGACAGAAGTTGGACTTGCGGGTCCCTTCCAGCTCACCATATTCTGGGATTCTGTAATGTCCCACCTAAGCCTCCCCTGGCACAGTTTAGGACCCAGTCCTCTCAAAAAAGGGCTGCTGAGGGGTTCAGAGTCCCAGTATTYAAGCGGTTTGTTTATAATGCATGTTGAGCAAACAGAGTGCAATGTTCTGCAGGTTTGGGCCAATTCTGTACAGAAAATAAGAAAACCAAGAGGTTTATAGTCCTTGAGGGCATAAACTGTCCAATAGTCAATAAATTGGGCATTGCCTTAGCAGAAGCTGTTTTTTTAACTCAGATTTTTCTGAAATAACAATATTGTTACTGTGATATAGAATCACAGAATGGTCTGAACTGGAAAAGACCTTAAACACCATCAAGTTCCATTCTCCTGCTATGGGCAGGGACACCTTCCACTATGCCAGGGTGTTCAGAGCCCCATCCAGCCTGGCCTTGGACACTGCCAGGGATGAGGCAGCCACAGCTCTCTGGGCAACCTGTGCCAGGGCCTCCCCACCCTCACAGGGAACAATTTCTTCCTGCTATCACATTTAAACCTACTCTCTGTCAATATGAAGCTATTCTCCCTTGTCCTGTCACTCCAAGCYC